AAGAAAAAAAAACTTATCGAGAACGGTTGTGTACTACAATACCCTTTGTCGTTTATTTATTTGAACACATGAATATTGGTACAAGAGAGCGCCAATATATATGCGCCAAACAAAACAATGAGAATTCGAAGAGAGGTAGAAAAAAAACAACTAAGGAGCGCAAAAGAAAAAGAGAACAATAACGAAGGGATTGGTGTAAGGTAGTGTGGAAGTAACGAGGTAACGGAAATGTACAATCAGAAGAAATCTTTCAGGTAAGGGAGACACAACCACTTTTTACGAAGAAAGTAAAAGAAGGTTACAGCAGGATCGCCACTGGCTTCTATTCTGAGCCATATCTGATAACGTCTCTAGCCACTGTGTATCACCATCTCTCAGACCCCAACCAGGGAGTCGTGAGGGACCGACAGAAGCCAGTCCTTTGCAGCTTTCTTTTATACCACTACACCATGTCATGCACTGACCACCTCTCCGCTTTTTCCAACCAATCCCAGAGTTGGCAAATAATGCACAACGTGGATTTCTCTGGGACGACATTCGTAGAACATGTCCAAGCCACCGGAGTCGGTGTTTCAAGATGGTGACATCGATTGCATTATCATCTCTGTGCCCGAACACACGATGCCGAACCTCTGCATTACTGACATGGTGTTGCCACTGAATGTCAGCAATCCTTCGGAGACAGCGATTATCGAACACAAAGAGTCGTCTAACGTCCTCAACTCGGAGAGGCCAGGTTTCACAAGCATAGAGCAAAACTGCTCTCACCGACACGTTGTAAATCCGACCTTATACAGCCAGACTAACATCACGAAGGCGCCAAAGGTGGCCCAGATTGGCACAAGCCGCTCTGGCTTTCACTATACGTGCATTGATCTCATCACTCATGCCACCACCAGCACTTATGCAGCTAACCAGATACACGAACTTCTCGACTTCGTCTATCTGCTCACCATCCAGGGTGAGTACAGGATTGGAATCCTGCCAGTCTTGTAGAAGTACTTTGCACTTCGAAGGTGCAAAGCACATACCATACCTACGGACACTGATTGCCAACTGATTAAGTGTGGATTGCATGCCTTGGGCATTATCGCACAGTAAGACAATATCGTCCGCATACTCAAAGTCGGGAATTCTTTCTCCAGGTAACAGATCCACACCGCCATTACTTACATCCATCAGAGCTGTTTCCAGAATGTCGTCGATGGCAAAGTTGAAGAGGAGTGGTGAGATTGGGCAACCCTGCCTAACTCCACTGCTTGAATGTAACAATGGAGAAGGGTGGTTGTGTGCCCTCACTCTTAGGTGTTTGTATATAGGGCCTTTAGGATGTTTATAAACTTCTCAGGCACACGTTTCTTCAATAGACAATCCCATGGAACAGTCCTGTCCAACGAATCGAAGGCAGCCCTGATGTCAAAAATCACTACGATTGTTGACCTTTGATAAGTGTGACGGTGTTCTAACATTTGGCGGAGGGTGAAGATATGATCAATACATCCTCGACCAGAACGAAACCCAGCCTGCTCCTCGCGAGTCAATCTTTCTCGGGTTTTGAATAAGCTACGAAGTATGACGGAAGCCAATAGCTTGGACGCAATCGAAAGTAGACTTATCCCCCGATAGTTGTTACAGGAACGACATGAACCCTTTTTAAAGATAGGGACAACTATCGACTCATTCCATGACGTTGGTACACTCTCTAGTTCCCAAACCTTTGTAAACAACGTCGTCAATTCCTTAGTCAAAAAGTCACCACCATCTTTAAAAAGAGCCGGAGGTAAGTCATCTGGGCCAGGTGGTTTGTAACGCTTCAAGAGTTGGAGTTCCTTGCGAACTTCCTCCTCGTTTGGTGGATCAGTCGTCACCGGCCACGGAGGGCAGGACAGTCTGACCGATGTTGCCGGAGCAGCAGGCCAGTTGAACTGCTCTTCGAAAAATTCTACCCATCGTCCAAGACGTCGATGGATGTTAGTGATTAGCATCCCATCATCCTCGCTGATTGCTTCGCTCACACCAGACTTCTTGCTGCCAGTGGCTCGGATGAGTTGGAAGAGCTTCCGGTAGTTACCAGATGCAGCTGCTGCTCCAGTTCATTAGCACGCTTCGACCATCAGGCTTCTCGGTCCTTACGCAAGCTTTGCCCAATTTCCTTACGTAAAATCCCTCGTTTGTGGTCAAACTCACGGTCACCCGGAGTAGACCGACGGGCTTCAATGAGTTGTAAGGAACCAGAAGAAACCCAGTGCTTATAAGCGGGACGTTTCGCAAACCCACAACTGACTGTACCCGCCATTTTCATTGCGTCATGCAATTGCAAACAATGCTCATCTATACTTTTCGGTGGAGTGGTAGCTAGCCTAGAGGCTAGCTCGGTTCGATACTTATTTGCAACAGAAGTTGCAACCAGCTTGCTGACATCAATTCTTTGGTGGCGGTCACTTCGTTGTCCACTGAAAAGTAAGACAAGATTGGCTCAGACCAAAGTATGGTCAGAGTCCAGATAGGTACTCCAAAAGGAGCGGCAGTCTTGTACACAACCACGCCAGCGGTAGCTGATCACGATGTGATCAATCAGAGTCCTGGTTTGAGATGCAGAGGGAGGACGCCAGGTGGCACATGGGCGATGACTGTGCCGAAAGTTAGTGCTAGCCAGAAACAGGTTGTGGTCTGTGCACAGTTGCAGTAGACAGTCCCCGTTATCTGACCTGCGACCAACGAGTCCTCATCGGCCACCTAAACGACTCTCTTCTGTGCCTAGACGCCCGACCTGAGCATTCAAGTCTCCTGCTAATACTACAATGTCTGTCGAACGCACTTTCTGGAGAAGAACAGTCAACTGATGGTAGAATTCATCCTTGATTTTATCCAGGCTGCAATCTGTCATGGCATAGGCGGAGATTACGAAAAGACATCATTTCTCACTTTGATGGAACTTTTTAATCTAACAGCACATATCCGACTGTTAATGGGTATCCAATTGATTAGTGCTGCCTCAGCTTTAGCGCTTAGTGCGACACCAACGCCAGCAAGACCAGACGAAGATGCCACAGGGTCCCCGGATAAGCGCACGTAAAACAAGCTTTTCGAAGCGACAGATGGAGATCGAATTTGTGGTACTTCGCCAGAGTCTTGAATACGGGTCTCGGATAGACAACAAACATCAATATTAAGACTTTCCAAAGACATAGCAAGCCCTATCTGTTGTCCGACCTGCACTAGTGTGCGAACGTTGAAGGCAGCCAGTTTGAATGGTGCACGTGGTTTCAGAAAAACTGCTTCAGTTCTCGTATTTGGTGGTAACATACAATTTTCAACCGGACAGTGACTCGAGAACGTTTAGATACAGTCGAATTTCCACCAAAGACGAGCTGCTGTATAAGTATAAAAGAGGGTGAATAATGTGGAAAATAATAATAATAATAACAATAATAGTAATAATAATAATAGTATTAATAATGACAATAATTGTAATGATAATAATTTGAATCAATTGATTGTTTTTCGAAGCGAGAAAAGTAATTTCCATAGACATAAAGAGTTTATCATTTGTGTGTGGGCTGTGATACTGTCCGGGTGCCCAAACCGAAGCAGGTGGTTATCTTAGGGGGCCACACCCCGAGCCTTCGACCTGAGGGTCTGATCCACAAGGCAGTGGAGCATCGTAAGGAGATGCGTTTCCATGGTAGCCGGTGACCGAGAATTGGTTCATACGCCATTCGTTCCCGCAGAATACTGGAGCCCATGTGCACCATTGGTTTGGAATCCGGTTAAAGCGCCGGACATTCGCTTTTCGTCCTCTCATTTTCGTAAACAACAAACCCGCCACGAGAAGGCAGTGAGTAGGACTTCCCTGCAGAAGCTATATACGCGTGGCCATGTGAGAGCATTTCGAGAGGGAGAGCGGACTCTCCCCACTCTCGGCCGTACCAGGGCATTCGGGGGTCATAAAGAAAAAAACTTATCGAGAACGGTTGTGTACTATAATACCCTTTGTCTTTTTACTAGTTTATGAGTATTATCAAGTTGCAAAATAACTTATTAATGAAATGGAGGTATAAATCACTGACTGGCACACTTTTAGATTATAGTTATTAAGCTTATCGCTTTGATGTACTTCTAACGCTATCTACTAATTCTGTAATCCATACTGTTTTTATTAATGGCTTTAAGACCCGATCATGGTAGTCAGGCTTGCTTATCATGATGACTGAATATCTCATATTTAGTCTGTTGATTTTTAACCCGATAGTTTCAGCAAACGTTTTTCAGTTTTCCCCATTCTTACTGACTCTCCTTTGGATTTTCATTTGATGTTTGATAGTGAACAGATTAAGTGTATTTGAGAGTGGTTAATTGATACGTAAATGATTATTGGGAAGTGACTTTCAGGTATTTTCAAAATATGTGGGTCTTCATATTTATTTTGTCTTATAAGTTATGTCATCAGCAGACAGTTTTTCCATATTTTATAACGTCTGGATATTTTCATTATCAACCTCAGTATGTTAAAACTAATACCTAAAACAGAATGGTACTTCAACGTTTGGTAACTAATTGTGACCAGTTTAAGTTCTAGTTTACAATTATTGGATAAAACTTTATGAGGACACAAGTCAAAATTTTATATCACAATTTCTTCCACATTACTCACTTATATTCCTTATTTATACCATACTGGAGAAACAAGTGTTTTATTTTATCACCTAGCACTTCCTTCGGTTCCTATCGTTTTACGTTTGTGAATATTTTTGTCTGACTCATAACTAACCCCTGTTGTTTTCTTCTAATCTTGACCACTATTCAGATAGCTTGTAGTTGTACAAAACGATATGAATACAGAAGTATGTGGTTTTCGTAGTTCCATACGGTTCATTAGATAAAGCACACGTCAATAACAGTTGTTATATTTTGCGAATAATTCTATATCAATATATTAAGTTAAAAAGGACAACAGGACATTTAATGATGACTTCTTATATTTTTGAATTCTTTTTCAGCATCATGCTATAGGAACATTTAACTTTCTGAATTCAGAAAGACGGTATGTAGCTGCAGCTGTCATTCCTCCACGTCGTCTTGATGTATATGATGAAGCTGATAACAAAGCCGCGCATCTACTATTGGATAGAGAGAGTCAACAATCAGACGAAATACCTCTACTGAGTCCAACCAGCACTAAATTGTTGAAATCCAGTGATTTTAAAGGAGATATTATTGTTTCGCGTTCACCTTTGATAAGTTGTAATACACCATCCTCCACGTCATTGCCTTCTGGAAGTGAAGAAAAAACATGAACTTAGCACTCCGGTGTTTGTATATATGTGATTAGACATTAACACGTGTTTTTACCCTGTTGTTCACTATTGTGCATAATAAACACCTAGATAGCATAACTCTGTTCTTAACGTTGTATGAGCAGATACTTATCTTTTTTGTTTCTTTACGTTAAAATAGTTTTTTTTAAAAATAAAAAACTCGTTTAAAGAGATACTGAGATAAACTTTTCTGGTGACTATTTCACACTTTTAGACCCCATCAAACAAAGTTAAAAATGCATACTTCTTTTTCACTTAGATCAATAGCCTAGGGATATTAATTCCACTTATTATGTTATATGTTGAAACTTATTCCGTTTACCTCGAATCAAGCACCTGGATCTATATCAGTGGTCTGTACACAATGAGTGTACAGCAGAATCTAGGATGAAAGCCCATGGAGTTTTTCATTGTCGAGTTTTGGAGATTGTTGAATGTCATTGAAGTTGTTGAAATAACCCCTACTTCATTCACGTCACTTTTTGGGTATTTAGTAGACGTGAGTTTACCTGCAGTAGTTTTTCAGAGCAATAAAATAAATAGAAATCTTCAACTATTCAACAGTTCCCATGTAGTTAAAAAATATATAACATTCATAATAACAAGAAATATATATCGTAGGTTCTGAGTTAAGAAGTCATAAAAGTCAGGAATGAACAAGAATTGCAGTCACAACATAAGATAACGGTTTTAAGGTGTCATAAGTCACTTGACGTGTAAATTTATTGAGCAATGGGTTTTAATCATAAATGGAAAGGAATGTGTTTACCACAAAAGCTGAATTTGATGAGTTTCATTCCAGGAGGTGTAGCTTTTACAGTGCTAAAGATTTCAAGGTAAAATGAAGCAGAACGTCCATGTTTACCGTTACTCGAGTGTCTTCAGATGTTTCATTGTTGGATAGCAACCACCAAGTTGTCTTTCTAATATCAGTAGTTTTACATCAATATTTTAATATAGATAAGTTGATCATTAATTCAGTGTATCCACCAGGGACAGATGACGAGCCATATATTTGACGAAAGATACCTGAATCACTAAATAGAATTGTTTGGAAGACAGTGTATTTGATAACCGTTATTAAACATATTACTGGTGATAAACTCAGGTAGTTTTGTTTCTCATGTGGGTAGGTTGAATCTCCACATAAAGCAATTATTCTTTCAAGACGTTGCATAGAAAAAATTGTTCATTTTGTCAAAAATAGGCTGTAAGAGTATTTTTGTATTTTTTCTTTGCAGTTGTTAACCCGTAATTATCACTTCGTCGTAAGTACTTTAATTACTGTGATAATTGAATAGTTTTAAACACACTGAACTTCTTCATCACTTTATTCCATAGGACTTTATTTTAGTCCACTTATTTTGCAAATGCTATATCGCACCTTTAGTTGATTTATCGTTGTTGGTTACTATGTATGCATGACAGACTCTTGCATAATCATAGGAACGGGGGATGTTCTTGTTGTATACTTCGTTTTTTATTAATCTCAACATATTCATAGTTTTATATGGACTGATTGCTTAAATGACATGATCGTGTCTAGAAGAAAGAAAAACTATCACTACTTTATCAACAAATAGGGGGATGGTTTTATCTACACCTTTTAACATCCACTTCTATTTCACACTGTGAAAACTTATTACTTCGCTGGTGTGTAAATTTTTTTGTGCTCATTTATCAGGAAGTTGACCTTCTATTGGCTTTTAAATATCGTTCATACAGTAAATGCCTTAACCTGTATTTCTTTAAGTTGGTTTTTTTTATCATATTAGGGTTTCTGCGATTCACTAAATGACACAGTGTATTGGAGCACGTACTTTAAAGAGAAGTGAGCTATTGTTTGGTCGCGCAATTTCGTGAATTGGCTGAGGTTAGACATTAACACCATTGGATGCCGACTCAGTGGTAGTAGGTTAGCGTTCGCGCGCGAGACCGAAGGCCCTGGGTTCGAGTCCCACAGGCGGGATCGTGGATGCGCACTGCTGAGGAGCCCCACAATGAGATGAAACGGCCTTTCACTGCTTCCAGGTTTTCAGTGGTGATCTAACATCAATCATCGGCTCATGATCGTAATCAAAAAACTGTTTAGAAATTGTTAGCTTTGATTTTAAGTACGTGTCGGTGATGTCCAGAAGAACAATTAGAGATTCACAACCAACCTGGCCAACTCAGACATCACAACAACTCCAACATCCTCAACATGAGCTGCAATTATTCTCCATTATATTAAGATACTTGGTGTGTGTATGTGGATTTTATCTCGCACAGTTACTATAGTGTTTGCTCATGTTTGTAACATTTGAACGTAATTAATTTAGAATACCAGTTTCATTTCAGATATATTAGTATTCCAGGAAACAAATGGTGTATGTGTGTAAATTGAAACACTTCGTAGTATTGCATGACCATCTCCTATTGCCTACGTGAGATAAATGTCCCACACCCAACATGGCTGCACTTCACTAGTTACGATTTCTCACTGGAACTCCTGCAATCGCACTTGAGAGTTAGCCACCAGTGAGCATAGTGTTGGATATCAGCCAAGTGGTCTAGAGGTTGAGCGTTCGTGCCCGGGACGAAAGATTCTGGACTCGACCTCCCTTTGATGGCGTCGTGGACGTACACTAGTGAGTCCAATACTAAGAAAATGCCACCACTCAGTGCTTCCTGGTTTCCAATGATGGTCATATTAAAATCTTTTTGGACATACTGCTAATATTTTGCCAACTTCACTATTACCTTCTTACCTTATCTGATTCCAATTTTCTATGGAAATGACGACATGATAATTGATCAGGTGTATAGTGTGATCAAATTGTAGATGTATTTTGTCTTGCAAATCCAAAGTTTTCCATAGTTTTGTTGTTAAGTTTATAATTTAAAAATTTTTATCACAAAAGATGCCTCCAATTTCGTTTTGAAATAAGGCGAAGAATCAATGAAAATGAAACAAAGTAACGACATAACCAGTTACACGATGAAAATTATATTTGTTTTTTTAATTTTGTTGAGAATAAAATTTCTTGTTTGTTCATACTTTATTTAATCATCATCTAGTTATTCAACAGGATTTGTAATGTCGTTTCATTACGACGGATTGCGTTTACTGGTTGTAATTTTCCGTCAAAATCTACTGGGAAAACCCATAAATGTCTGGCATCATTTTCAACTGAAGTCACCAATGAACGTAAAGAGAATGATGCCAGTTCACCACGGGAATTAGACAAACCTAAACGTATTTGGCCCAATCAATTACCCGTTCCTATCGAAATTGTCACACCACCTTTTTCAACAACTATAGCGGCTACTTCGAAGGCGCCACTGATAAAAGATTTTTTCAGAGGCCAAGTCAATCTGGTACTTTCGATTGGTCCACGTATTGTTATTATTATTGTTATTATTTTAACTACTATTATTACTGACAATTGCATTGGTGGTATTTTTGCACTTAATAAAATTCGCATAACGTACTATTTGAGTCATAGTCCAAAAGGTCCATTCGTTGTATCATTACTGTACGTCAAACTAATGCACTGAGTACGGAGATCATATAAACATCTTTAAACCCATTTGGACATTTCGATTCCATATTTATTACAAATGAACTCATTTCCACATGGTTGCATTGTAGAATTTTCTTCGACAGTATTGTCATTATTCTATCAAACTAAACCACTTAATACTTGTATTAGCTTCGACATTACATATATTGGCCCTCATCATTGTCTAGTACTTGAAATATCGACTATTGCTACCCTTGAAATTGGGACTTGTGTCTTGCAACGTTACATTTGTAGGTTTCATTGCCGGTTATTCCAAGTTTTAGTTATTTCTCAAGTAACAACATACTATGTAGAATAATTTATTATCTAACGATATTATGAAAATGTGAATTAGAACATAGATGCATCAGTCAAGGTTTTGTACTGTTCATGTAATCACCATTAGGGAATATCTCTGGGAATCTGTAAACAGTATTTCTCTACAGAATACAGGACTGCATTTCTTGTATCAGCAACTAATAAACTGATAATGACTTTCCTTTTATTTACAGGAATTGTTCGAATTTCTAGAATTACAAACTAGACGTGAAGTAGACGATTTAGACGCTATGCACAATCAAATCAAGAGATTCATACTCAAAAGTATGTGCTTTTTTCCTAGTGATTTGTTGTTTGATATTAAAGTTAATTGGTAAAATCAATTTTTAAAGGTATGTTTTGACTAATATACATTATATCCTCCTGGATGAAAACAAATTCACTTGATATATAGTCATGGGTCAGTCTAAGTCTTGCAGGCGTTGTAGATTCTCTATTCGGGGTTCATGGTAGTATTGCAATCAGTAGTTTACTTTGTTAAGTGATCAGACACTAAGAATATTTGTTTAACAATGACAGTACTGTGGAAGGTGAAGATCAGCTTTTAACAAATCAAATATGATTGCTTTTGTTTAAACTGTTTCAAACCTGATTAATCATCTGGATTTACGGTGATATAACCGATTCAAATATATGTTCACCTTGTTGACTGTTCCTTTTCTATCAACTGTGTGGAATTTTTCTGACAGACTGCAAGCACAACAGCGTATATCCTGATTCTCCTTAGTTCTTACATTGTACCTTAGTCAGACAGCATAGGCATTTGATTATGGACTAAAACCGAATTCGAAAATCTGCATTCTTTCAAAACCAATACTATAGTACACTTGGAAGGTAGTTATCGAATTTTTATATTCTGCGAGGATGAATCGTGCTAGTGGCGTAGTGCAGACGGTTAAAACGTCCTGATCTCGTACAATATGACGAATGTTTCTTTCTAAGGAATTCTAAAAAGAAATTGTACTACTAGCATTGCGTCTTACTAATCCTATCTACGGCATTCAAAATCCGTGGAAAATCAGCTGTTTATAGTATTTTGAAAGTGACCCTTTAGTAACCCATCTTTTCACCTGTTGAAGAACAACAGTATGATATCGCTGTTGAACGGGAACCGCATCGTTTCGTACTGTTTTCGTTGATTTAACTGGTGTTGAAGGTTCTCAAGAAATAGGTGTTTCACCCGATGTATGTCGATGGTTTCATCAGAACAAGCAAGCTCGATCACCGCGTCATATCAACAGGTATTATCTAAAAGTTACCGATCAAAGCAGAGAACTTAAACCACTCAGTTACATTTCTGTCATTATCTTGTTATCAGGTCACTAGATTAATGTAACCAACAATATACTTCTAGTCTAATTAGATCATGTGTTGCAATGCTATTCCACGTCAGTGGACAAAGTAGAGTTGTTTTTATCTTCCATACAGTACACATAAATAGCATCTTTTTATGTAGTAGCAAATGCTTATGCAGTGTACTTATGTCGTTCGGGATTATGTGATAATTTAATATACTAAATACCTTGAACAGAAGCAGATATGATGACTACAGGGCTGTATATTACCCAAACACGCCTAATAAATCAAATAATTTTCAGTTTGATTTCATTAAACAAAGGTGTAAATACTTTTATTGGATTAATACGATTGCTTTTTCAAAATGTTATCGTTTTTATTGTATACTACTATCTTATTTGATATTTATATCTACGTTTTATCGGTTGGCTGATTGACTAAGCGATACGTCGTGTACTCAACTCTGAATTACGCGTTACTGTACATATGTTTGTGAGTAAATGTATGTATTTTAGATCAACTATCAAACTTTGCTTTATAATCAACTCACCCTCAGATGTTTTAAATGATATATATATATATATATATATATATATATATATATATATATATATATATATAATTCTTTTTGTTAATCTTGTAGTGGATAGTTACGAGATTGATCGAAACTGTAGTTTGTCGAAAGAAATGATACATAATCTGAATGAGCTTGGTCTACTTGCTTTCTGTATTGACAAAGAATATGATGGTCTTGGTTTCAATACTACTCAATGGATGAGAGCTTGCGAAGCAATCGGTTTAGATGGATCTGTATGGACTACATTAACTGCTCATCAGTCATTAACTGCCAAAGTTTGTAATTCTGCTGAATATTTAAATAGTAACTGATTATTTCATAAATTTTAGAAGGCTTTTTTTGTTTTGTTTTGAGACTTATGAGGTATTTATGAAGGAAACATATGTAATTAAATTAATAATTAGTGAAATGAGCACAGCAAATTTAATACTGCATATTGCTGTTCATCAATGAAAAATTGTATGAATAATGCTATCCAGGAGAAAATCATCTATTGTTTACGTCGTCTAACTTTGAATACATTCATAAATGGTATCAGTTGAAAATTTGATTGAACAGTTCTATACATTTTTTACATTAGTGAGTTGATTAGCAATAATATTTCACATATAATTACCGACCAATATTTACATAGTTTTACTGTACAGTTGCATTATTGATAGATCCAAACTTGAACATTAGAATGGAATATTCACGTTCGTATTTCTATCTGTTCATTATATTCAGAATTACTAAAGAACTTGTGATATTTAGATCAACAGTTCCATTAAATAAATCTTTAGTCGTTTAGTTAGCACAGTGATGCTTTAATCTTCATCTATATAATCTGGTAAAGGTATTTTCTGATCATTCAAACGTTAATAGATTAAATAGAACAAAGATTTGTACTCTACTGATGTTGAAAGTCAAGTAATATAAACCAGTAAGCCATAAGTCTAGTCTTATATTTGTAAAAAAAAGTAGGATGATGTGATCATTGTGTTATTTTATAAACATAACCGTCACTGAACCAATAGATCCCTTTTGTTTTTCTTTTAAAAAATATTAATGTTAATGATAATAAACATATTTTTGTGATATTTTAACGACAAGTAACAAGTTGCATTTATTACGCTTTTCTTATTCTGAAGAAGCGTCTTGCATCAAGTCTTGAAACGTCAAAAAATATAATTTTTATTTATTGGAGTATCACAAAAATATATGTTTATTATTAAATTTATACTCAATATTCAATTTATTTAAGACTATCAAGTTTAACTTTGGTATTGATGCATACAAAGGATAATAATGCTTGAAGGTCCGTGATAGTGGTCAGACAAGTCATATGTATTAATCGGGTTAATTTTGCATTTCCAATGGGCACATTATTATTATTATTATTACTTTCATATTATTTTTAATGAATTTATTGTTAATTAATATGAACTTAAAGATACAAAAATCATATATTACCTGTTCTATATTCTTTTTGAATGCCTTATATATGATTTGTACGATGAAAAGTTTTTTATTTTGTTGATTAGTATATTCATTTTAGAATATTTCTTTGTATGTTCGAGTAGAATAATCCCTTTGTAATTAATTTGTGATTCTCCTTCGATAACCAAATACATGTTTTTTTTTATTGTTTTTAAATGATCCTGTTTGTTTGAGAAAAGTAGTGATGCTATCTGACTATTTAAAACTGATTCGAACTTGTTTATAATTACTTAAAACATAAGTGGAGTTAATCATTAGTGATGTTCAGTTAAATGGGTCTTGTAGAAGTCGGTTCACTTTGCAGGTTGTATTCGTTGTAGATTGGTTCTAGTTGGGATACCACTGGGCTCCAGGAAACTCTGGACAGCTGTTTTGCTTTAGTATTGGACTACTCAAAAATGTTCACACACGACCTTATCACGGATATATCTCAAGACCTGGTCTCTGTGAATGTTCAATCATTATAACTGCTATTTGGGTGTTCAATGCTTCGATTTCAACTTTAATCAATTTGGGATGTAGCGCGACAAACATAAAATGTTATTAGTGACAATTGTTACACTTTCAACTTATTTAAACTTCACCAGTCACAACTTGAAACTAGAACTTTAGACTCACCCCAAAGTAAGCCGCTCTTCAATTAACTGCTTGACACAACGTTTCTAATGGTTAGATGTTCTCTGAGAGACTGATGGACCTTGAGTTCAATTTTCGGTGGATCATGAGTACGCACTACCGAGATGTCCCGTACTAGAACGAAACATTTATCCAGTCTTTCCAGGTTTCGAATGATGCCTCACTTGGGATCAAGCTGTGACGAATACAACGTACATATTAATCATCTTACTAATTTTATGGTATTACATTTTGTTCTAGACGATATCTTTACTTGGAACAAAGGAACAAAAGGCGTATTATTTACCGAAATTAGCATCTGGTGAATTTATTGGTGGGTTTTGTTTATCTGAAATTAGCAGGTTCGTTTTTAATTTTGTATTTTTTTTGACAGTTTAATTAATTTGAATATTTTCTCAACTAAATTTATGTTTCAAAGTGTTATTTATTAAGTATATTGCATGCAAGACACTAAACACGGTAGTCAAACAGTGATCATTTTATGATATTTTAAACCCACTAGTGATTAAACGTTTATTAAATTACGAAATGTATTGTAGTCACTAGACCAGATCATTCACTTAAGCAGTCTCATAAATTCCCGTCTTCGTATATTGTTTAAGGTTACCAAACAATTAACTTGTCAAAACTGTCCCAAATCTACCTCAGTTATTTTGGAACCTCACATGAAGCTTTAGATATTCACACTCTAAATACGAAGCAAATCTGACTAGGACCTTGAAGTACTTTATTACTTATGTATGTGATATTTTAAAGGTACGTATTCAATATCATATGTTAGTTCAAATGTTAATTCGAAATGAGTTTCATGTACTTTCAGCTGTGATTTATGGAGCAATCGCATTCGGTTTTGCCCGTGTTGGCATTATGCTTACAAACTAATTTACTTTGGTATTCAGACAGTTCCCATTACTGAAAGAACTTCATCCTTAGTAGTTTTTCTATCGGCATAAAATTTTCCTGAAAATCACAATTATTTGTTTTTAAAATATTTGTCACTGAATTTTTGTTGTTTCTTTCTTTAGTGGTAATGATATTCAAGCGTTGACTAGTTTAGCAGTTTTAAATGAAACCGATGATCACTATATACTTAATGGTCATAAAACTTGGGTTACCAATGGTGCAGTGGCAGATGTTTTCGTTGTATTCGCTCGAACTCTCTCTAGTAATGTATGTAATAATTCTTTTTTGCCAATTACTAAATTCGGAAAAATTTGGATTGTAAACTAAAAAGCTGATAACCCACAAAAATGCTGTTTTACTTTGGTTTCAAACCTTACTCTACATTCTTAACTATTATCTTAGCTAAAACCAAATACCATATCAGGTCTTGTGATAAAGCCAGCATATTTGGTTATTCATTAGTTTTTTAGTGCAAAACTTTGAACGCAATGCAACTAAATACGCACTATTTGACGATTGACGTACTTGGCATGGTTTGAAATCTGAAGGAATAATCGTTTCACTCATTGTATTTTTTTGCCTATGTTAAGGCAATAGCTGTTGATCACTTTTGTGTAAATTTAAAGTTACTGTTTCCAATTTTTGATAGCACTAGTAGGCAAACTTGACATTTCTTATATTCTTCATAGTAAATGCTTTCATAATATTTAAGATATTCACCAACTTTGATTGTGACAAAAGCATATAATTTTAATATAGTCATTATTCATCTAAATTCAATTAAACATCCTTACTTGACCATCTCAGATTTAAAATTCTCGTTACATTACTGACCGGTTTTTTACTATCATTTTTAAATGAATCTGACACCAGATTTCCTAACTATTGAGAAGTCAATTACACAAATTACTAAGTTCTAGTGTAGTGAACGAGAACCCAAACGGGGATAATGGAATGCATTTGAATATAAACTTACAGAACATCTTAGTAAAATCTGAAAACCATACAGACTTCATTGTTATTTCGTTTCCATACTAATCATTGTTTGTCCTCGTTCTCTTTTCTTCGATCTCCTGCTTACAGGCATTTCACTTCCGACTTATGATACATACTACTTATATCGACATCAGTAGCACACACCACACTAGGATGTCCTGATTATTTAGGGAGCTTACATTTGAGTGCGCTTGTTTCTATAATTCTTTAGCCGTTAACTAACTCTTATTTAATATTCCTGTATGTTAATGATGATAAATAGATTCTATATTGTTATCTTAACAATTTAAACTCTGTCCACCTTTGATATTTCTTGGACTTTTTTTAGAATAATAATGAGATAACAGCATTTATTGTGGATCGGTCATTAGATGGTATTGAATGTGGGCCATTGCTGGATACTTTTGGTGCATGTGGATCAAATGGTATATATATATAACTTATTTTATATAGTATTTTTAATAGAAAGTGAAGCATGCATTTGTGAATTCCTTACTTAAAGGGAAGTTTTAAAAGATTTTTAAGAATGTAAAATTACCTCTTTTTTAATAAAGTATTCTTGTAAGCTAACAATAGTTAGACAAGAAAAGGTTTAGGATGAAGATTTATTAGAGACTCGATACTACAATTGTTATTTACAGCTTATAGAACTACACCCAACCGTAGTGTCTCAGACAGGAAGTCATCTGCCAAAGTTATGTTTGGAAGAAGTATTCGCACTATATTTAACAGCTATGTCGCCACCTAAAACAGTTGATGGGTGCAGACAGAATCAGAATATCAGAAGTTTTAATGTGGGTGATAAAGTATTTGTCAAGTCATACCTTGGAAAAAATCAATGGGAACCTGGAGTTATTGAAAAGAGAATGAGAAACGCTTCGTACAAAGTGCGTGGGACGTTCGGAACGTGAATCAGACACATCAACCAAATCCATAGAGAAAAAAGAACAATGAACACGCTAGATGGACAAGTGAGATAAACACAGATACTCCAGTGATAGGAACTTTCAAAGACATAATGGAGAACACCAGGATGGAAGTTTGGAGTCGGAGGACACCAAGAAATACGGAACTCTGCCAGTTGTCAAGTTACAAGTGAATCCCATCAGAAAATCGTATTCCAGGAGATGTTGATATGGCTTCGAAATGCTTAACAAGGTCTCCAGTGGCTCTTAAGTAGCCTAAGATATTCCATCTAATCAGAACCGGATAGAGCCTTCTAGAGTATCAACGTGGTATGCTACGATTGGACAATAGCATGAGTTGCATCCTTGCAGATTACCTGAATTATTATGATGTTATAGCCAGTACTAATAACTTTAAATACCCATGTTTTTCTGTACATTTCTGATTTTTACCCAGTGATCACTTCCCCTGCTTCTTCTGTCTTCTTATTTACGACTTTTGAGTCCTACATGTTCGAATGCCGTTAGTTGTATATCGTATTCTGCTGTTATTACATACAAGTTGTAACACTGGAGATGCGGATGCAGTATTTAAGTCATATTCTGAGTAATTTCTATTTAGCTTACACTTTGTTCAGTTTGTTTTTGTATTCATGGATAAATTTATATTTAAAATAAACTATATGATAGAACTACATTGAATCAACTGTAGATTGCTAATAATAGAAAATAGTGTTTTATAAACAATATTTTAGTGCAACAATTTAAATGAAGCTCAGGAAAAAATAATTAGCTTTCTATATATATCCATGATTTATTTTATTTTATTTCAACACATAGATATTGGTACAAAGAGGCACCAAATACATATGCGCCACACAAATCTCATTCGATATGTGCGAGGGCTGTGATACCGCCCGGGTGCCCAGACCGAAGCAGGTGGTTATCTTAGGGGGCCACACCCCGAGCCTTTGACATAAAGGTCTGACCCACACGGCAGTGGAGCATCGTAAGGAGATGCGTTTCCATGGTAGCCGGTGACCGAGAATTGGTTCATACGCCATTCGTTCCCGCAGTATACTGGAGCCCATGTGCACCATTGGTTCGGAATCCGGTTAAAGCGCCGGACATTCGCTTTTCGTCCTCTCATTTTCGTAAACAACAAACCTGCCACGAGAAGGCAATGAGTAGGACTTCCCTGCAGAAGCTATATACGCGTGGCCATGTGAGAGCATTTCGAGAGGGAGAGCGGACTCTCCCCACTCTCGGCCGTACCAGGGCATTTGGGGGCAATATATCCATGGTAGTACGAAGGATTAAATATCTTGAATATGGTTAGAAAAGGAGTTACCTATGAAGGAATACTGAAACTCTAGATCTAGGGGTAAATAAAGAACAAATTATTCTTCGTCATTGATAAGTTCTGAGTCACGTTGTCTAACCATTCCAACTGTTAATCCCAGTTGTGCAAACTTCAAGTAATCTTTATAGATTATATCTAGTCATAAATCTTGACATAAATAGTCTCAATCTAGGTTGAAAATGTTATTTAGTGCTCCTCACTCTTCAGTTGTCAACTGTTTGTAATAAAAATTACCTTGAAAATTTTTAAAGTGTGTTTTATTGATAGAATTTTCTATCAAATAGTTTGTCCTGTTATATTTACTTTCGTTAAGCAACTGATGTCTTCTTCAAAAACGTGAAAGTTCCTAAGAACAATTTATTGGGTAAACATGGTGATGGGTTTAAAGTAAGTTTAAATAATTTCATTGAGTAGTTTTTGAAAACTAATTAATCTATTTAGTGTCTTTATTAAAATGTTAAACACCACTTAGCAATTGATTTGTTTTAAGTCGCAACACTTCGTCCACGCTCTTAACCCATTTAAATTTCGCCCGTGAACAGTGGGTCATTCTAGATTGAGCGAAAAATCGTTCATTAGTCATCATTTCTCTTGAAAATTCAAGATATTTGCATTATGTGAGTTTATTTTAAAACATCCCAACTTCCCGGTAGTAACTAAAAGGAAAAACATTTACTCCAGTAGACAAAATATTACTCACTACAGAATAATAACTCCTAGCTGTAAACTGAATTTTAGCCACTTATTAAAAGGTATAGTTAAAAATATTCTCAACGACTTTGTTTACACATCAATCACTCATTATTAACTGGTACGTAAATGTATTTACTGATTTAATAGAAAATCTCTTATTTTCTCCATTATTCGAAAATGTAATGAGGTTAAATAACCAAGAGCAGCAGATTCTCATGTTCTGTTTTGTCTCCATAAAAACAATAATCTTGGTCTTCTTTTATTCTAAATCGAATATGAAGTTAGGCGTTTTTATTGAGATAGTTTTGTTTTGACTGAATTCAGTTGGAAGGTAGTCGACAGGAAACCCTTGACCTAAGTTTCGTGCCATTAATCACTCGTCAGTGAAAGGTACTTATAATTTTGTTGGGAAAATTGCTCCCTATTAGTAGTTTGGATCATAATATATCAAAAGTTGAATAAAAATGGATATATACATATATACCACTGTATCTCAGTTCATAGTTCAAAATTGTTCTGTTTTTTGTCGAACTTTTATATTCTGGCTCTAACTCCGTGCACATAGTTGTGAATGATCACTGCGAAGAAGTTCTAGACTGATACTAAGTAGATGTATCTAGCTCTCCCTTGTTTTTCAATAGTTCTCCTGCTGAAGTTAGTCAGTGTCTTAAACTAATTTTAGAGTAATATTAGCATTAATTAACTGTCTACCTCCCTTCAAAGCATCTTATCATTAAAGCTACTTAGAGTCAGTCAGTTATTAACAATGTACCTGGTACAGTCGTATATCGGCTGAAATTGAGACAACTTACATTAGTGGAATAAGAGATTAAATTAACAACCTGGAATGCCAGACAAAAAAATACCATCTTCAGTGTAAGATTATACATGAGAATCACATTATTCAAAAGAATTGAAAATAATCGAAAAATAATAGTTTAAAATAACTTCATGTTAAGAAAAGTGGCAAATAGTTAGCCATTCATTATGTAGATCGATCGGAGAAATTACTGCTTATACTAAAATTCAAGTTCAAGTTATTTCGTTTTATCGTAACAAGTGAAATGAATCTTTTTTTTTCAATTTTGTTTCAGACTAGATCATTTTATATCAGGTATTTAACATTATGTCATTATTGAGTGTCATAACTCTAACTAATGATTTTGAATACCATCTACTAATTAGTTTAGTGTGTTGTTTACCGAGTAGCCTTATAAGACTCAACATCTTGATATATTATGTTTGGGGTTGTTATATCAGATAAGACGTTATTAACGAAAGTCCTATCCTGATTTAATGAATTTGGTCATCATTGAAACTCTGCAGGTACGCCCTACTAACTAGTAGGAAACATAGGTTAAGCGTTTCTCGTCGACTACCTCCAATCACTTAACACTGAAAGTTAAGGCTCTCCACTGGCTATTTCTTAACCAATGGTAAATTCTGTTTGTGTTCAAACATTGTTTTGAAATTTCTATATATTTTTTAATCAACAGTTGAACTGAGTAACTTATTTATTCCCTTCATTTTATTAGACAGCTCAAAATGTTTTAGTTCTTCATCGTTTGAATACTGTAGCCTCTGGTGTCGGTGTACTACGTTATCTTCTTTCATATACTGCTGAACATTGTTTACAACGTCATCAGTTTGGAAAACCAATTGGTGATTATTCTAGAGTAGAAGAAAAATTATCTGAAATTGTTTTAAATCTTTATGCAATGGAATCAGGATTATTCTATTTTAGCGGTTTACTAGATGCGCAGCCATCACGTAATCTTTCCTTAGAATTAGCTGCTTTAAAAGTAAGATTTTTTCCCCGTGGATATTTCTTCTTCTGGTAATTTATCACGTCATTTTCTATTTTGAATATACATTTTGAACAGTTTTACAAATAAGAATTTTATTTTGGACCGTGAAGTTAAGCAGGAAGTTGCGTCATACTTGTTTAAACTGGTAATTTGTACAAGAATTCTAATAGATATTGATGTAATATAACTTACACAAACCTTGTTGCTGTTGTAATGTTTAATGGTAGTCTTCTGGAAGGGTTGTTTCCTGTAGCTCTATCCTAGCAGTTGTATGGCAGTATTTGGTGTCCCCTTGTGCCAATGCTTATGTGTTCAAATAAATAAAAATAGCACTTGAATAACATTGAGAGTTACACTCTGATAATAGTTGGTAATTAGCAAGTGTCTACATAATGTTTGCTCTTTTTAAACTCCGATATCTTTGTTCATCATGTTTTCGGAAATGAACGTTGCCGATTCTTACGAGTGTATTCAACATGCATTTTTCATAAATATCTTCTCACTTCCTTAGGAAATATTCTCATCTAGTGGAAATAGTGAGTAAAACTTCTGTTAAATAAATTAGATATTAAAAAGAGCATGAATGCACCGTACTTATGATTGTTTTTTCTAAAACAGTTCCAAGTATAAAAATTTGTATGCTTTACAGATTATTGATAATAATCTTTGATATAATTCAGCTGGTGAGTATCTTTCAGCAAATAATAGTTTCACATATCTTATTTCTCTGGAATTCTTCTCATCAGTATAAACACACAAATAGGTTTATGAATTGTATACTTTAAATTATTTATGAGAGATATATAGATAATTTTATATCCTAACGACGAATAAATGAATGATAACTGTTAGGAATTAATTATGGACTATTATTATATATATTCTTATTGTATAACTGTTAAGTAACTATATTATGTGTATATTCATATTCCTTTTATTATAAGCTTCCATCTGACCTATTGATTATTATTATAGGACTTACAATTCTTTAGATTTTCCCATTTTATTAGTTACAGTCTCTCACACTCATAGTCATTTTTGACTTGATCTTGTATAATTGTTATTTTCTGTTTCATGGTATGATGCCATCTGATTTGTTCGTATCTAAACCAAGTATGCCTGAAATATATGGTTCATACAGTGAGAGCTGAAATTTGTGTTCTGAACTTAAACGAACAAGACTAAGCGAGAAGAACCAATACGGACTCAGAATTGATTCTAGGCTGCTCGTACTGGTCAACATGTCATTGGTTTGGCACAGGGTCAAGGTCGTGTAAGCCGTGTTTTGATTAGCGATTTGACCACGTGACATATCCAAGAAGTACTAGAAAGCTGTTTTGTTCTAGTATGATGATCCCTAGCAGTGCACATTCAAGACCCTAATCCAAAAGTCTTAGGTGTGACTGTGGGTGCTTAACTTCTATGGTTTAGATGTTTGACTGTAATCAGTCCATAATATCGTACATTCATCTTCAAATGATATTTCTGGGTAACTATTAGATCCGACTTGGATGAGTTTCATTAATCAATACTTCTCATTATCAGTCTTCTGTAATTCTACTCACTTAAATTATTTAGATTCAAATATATGATTGTTTTGTTAACTGTACAGTGAATCTCTAGCAAAACACTTCATTTATTCATTATTATTACACATATTATGATCACATTGGAAGCTAACCTATTTTACATTCAATATTATTGTAAAGCAGTATGAAATTATCTGAACCGAGTCAGTAAATTGAAGATTCCTTTTTGATACTGACTGACTTTGGCTAAATAACCGTAGAAAACCAGAAAACGTTAGACAACTGTCTCGTCTTAGTATCAGACGTTTTAGGAATCCATTCTTACAACCAAGCTAGGGATTGGGGCGAAGAATTTCGTTGCTCACAGGGTAATGTTATTTGTAGACTGTATTGTTCGCACCTAGGTGTATACATTTCCAGTTGAAGTTTATTCGCCATATTGTATAGTCATTATTCATTCTTATCGGTTATACGTAGATACATGCAGTATCAAAGTGTCCCATACGAGGACAAGTTAACGGTACTCGATGTGCACTACAATTTAATCTATCTCTGGAGAATGTTGTGTTAATCTATTCTGTTGATGTTAAGAATTCATATTAGCTTTGTATTTTATAATTTATTTGCCTAAACATTCAATATTTATGTCTTCATTCATCATTATTTTGTTTAATTTATCCTATATAGGTGTATAGTAGATGTAGTTTTTAGTTTTTTTTATTATGAAACGGTTTATTAATCTAAACCTCCATTATAGTTGCTGAGATTTCGGTTTTCATAGTTAGTGTTGTAATGAACGAGAAGTCAGGCGAGGACAACGGTTTATTATTTTGTGCAAAATTATAGAATATCTTCGTAAAATATGAGATTCATACTTTAAATGCTTGATTTGCAAATCAATTGTCCTTTACATTTTGTCTAATTCTTCCGATTTCTATTTCCCTTTCTGTTTTCTTCAATTCGATCTTCTTAACCTTCTACTGCTAGCCATTTAACTTCGGATTGGTGTTACATACTACTTATGTCTGTCAACTTAAGTAGCATACACCACATTGTATTTAAAACATAAAAAGAATTTTTTTAAATTTCCAATTTAATCAGTCTATTCATTTTATATTTGCACTGCTTTATTTCTTTAGAGTGATATTTTGTCTGAAATTTCTCCTTTTTCCGTACCTTTATGTTCATTTATTTGTTGATTGAAATTCTTAGATTTTTAGTTCGGAAAAAGTATGGTCAGGCATTGATACATGTATTCAGCTAGCTGGACGTTTTGGTCTACTTAAAAATGTCCCATATGAACGATTTCTACGAGATGCTAGAAATCATCTTACCAGTATGGTAAGTTTTTAATCTAATTTTCTGACGCTTTATTTTATAGATGGATTCGATTCAAATCTCGTTATAAATACTTCTCAAAATAACCCTATCCAGTGTTGTCGATATTTACGGTGTCGTTGGTATTTGGATCGGTGATATGATGATTTATAACTTTAGTTTCAGAATAGATACCTGGCAATTTGTCTAAACTAACTAATTATAGTGTTATATATATAATATATATATATACCCTACGAATTATCATGTTTTTGTTAGAGATCTGGTATATTATATTATGACTCACGGTATCCGAGTCTAATACTGATACACAAAAAACGTATATCCAAGCTCCAACCGATTACTGAATAAAAAGGAAGAAGTTTATTGATCTAAATCGAATCATGCATATAAGCAATCATATATATATCTTGAAAAATAAAATTTCTTGTCTACACACTTATTGACTAGAAATTTCCGATTAATACCACATTCCCTTCTCATTTAACAACTTTCAATGAACTCATTGTATCATATTATATGATATTATTTGAAATAGAACTCGGTAGATTGGTCGCTACTTATTTCCTCTCTTTAAATTTTCACCGTTGAACATAAGGGGAGACTTTTAAAGATTTTTTAAATTTACTCTTGATTATGGACAGGTCTTAACGCAAAAACTATTGAGCATTGCATAAATTATTCTACATGAAATTTTATAGTTTATAATCATTTGGTAAAACTTCTTATTCAATAGGAATCAAATGATATCTTACGTATTATGATAGCTGGTGAAGGCATAACTGAAATTATTCCTGGCTTTGAAAAAACGATCTCCGATTTAAGTGTTTATACTCGACACCCAATAACTAATATAAAAACTAAATGGTTATTAAAAAGAAGAAAGCAAGGAAAATATGCTGCTCAAGCTGGTTCTGGCCCGAAAGTAACCGAGGGTAATGCTTCACGTGATTTAAAAGATCATTTGCATCCTAGCTTTGCTGATATGGCAACTCGACTTGCTATAAATACACAACGATTTCAAAGTTTATGCCAAATTTCACTTATTCAGTATGGCCGAGTAAGTTTATTAATAATACTAAAATACTGTTGTTTACAAACTGCATATTTGATATACTTATTAAATTCAGTGCAAATAGTAATGTAAAATAAAAAATATACATGGTGCATATTGGATTATTCAAATGAATCGAATATACGTTTCTTTTGTTTTGTTTTCATTATATTCGTGTGATAAATTAGTTTATCAATATCAGTTGGCTATGGAAACTAAACATTTTCATCAAACATTGGAATAGATGCTTCATTTGAGTTACACTCGAAGTGTGAGGGTTAATGATGCTGTTCGGCTATCCAGACCAAAGTAGGTGCATTGAGGTTCAAACCTGTGACTTAGTGGCCAAATGTTCACCAACTTAACCGCTAAGCCATCCACCGTTCAACAGTGGAATAGGTAGTGACATACAGAATACTCCTTCTTAACAATAGTGGAATTATTCAAAATTATTTATTTGTCAGAATAAAAAGTCGCTTATTTTCTTTCCTTGTTATTAACCGGACACCAAAATAATTATGCACCACACAGATAATAATATAAAGTCGTGAAAACATAGAGGCGGAAAGAGAGTGGTACATGTTTAAACGCAAATAAGGGAGCTGAAATAAATTAAGGAAGATATTTTATGATAGAAGATATAATTCAGTTAGAAGTACAACTGGAAAGATTTTTTCCAGTCAAGGGAGTTACTCATGCTTTTATGAAAAATGTAAAAGAAAACTACATTAAGTTCAACATTGGCTCCTATTATCAGCTATGTTTGATGACTTCTCAAACCAATGATTTGCGCTATCTCTTTAACCATATCCATGCTGTCAGACGGGCAGACAGATTTCGGTTCTATTCAGTTTTCGTTCATTCTTCGACACGGCTTCTTAATCTGACCACCTGTTTACTTTTTCCTCTCACTCCCCATTGTTGGTGAATAATGTGAGGTGCGCAAGCCACTGGGATGACACTCCTAAATTATACATTAAACCGAAATAAATAGTTGTGCCATAACCAAATCTTGTAGGATGATCCAATAGTAGTATATGGAAGATGCTGAAATTCAGAGTTCCCCATACTTTATGATATGGTCGACAATTGGTAATCATACGACACATTTTTTATAAACTATCCTTTATCACTATTCATGTTGTAATATTACTTTTCATTATTTTATCAGTGAGTAGTCTGGTGTATGTTTGACATATTTTTGGTGCTATCTGTCGATTACCAACAAATGAATACTAAGTTTCTTCAAGTTCATATTTTCAATACCAATTATTATTTTTCGAGTGATCCCTTGGGAATTTTAATCATTTTTATTTCATTTGTAGGAGATTACAAATGAACAAATGTTATTATGTCAGTTAGCAGATGCTGCAATTGATCTCCTATTAACGTCTATTTGTTTTGGTCGGGCCTCTAGATCAATAAGCATTGGTTTACCTCGTAATGATTATGAGGTGAGTTTAATTTTCATACTTTTAATACAAATGATTAATTGGATAGAATAGAAAAACAGAAATACTTAAACTGTGTATTTATTATCATAATTGTGGTTTGTCTTATGATTGGTTGTTCTGTGGTGTGTGTTACGTATGTTGATATAAGTAGCATATAGCGCCAATCAGAAGTGCCTGGTAGTAGAAGGATGAGATCGAAGAGGGAAGAATAGGAACCGAGAGTAATTGGTATGGAAATGAAGGGACAATGAAGTATGGGACAATTAATGAATATTTTGGAAATGAAGTGTAGTTTTTACATCTTATCAAATATCTGTAATTTTGTGTCAAAATATAACCAATTGTTCTGACCTGTGTTCTCATTCACAACAGTCCTAGGGTTTTAAAAATTATATATATATATATATATATATATATATATATATATATATATATATATATATATATATATATATATATATATATATATATCAGTCAGTCAGTCAGCTACAACGTAGGACCAGGCACATGTGTGCATCGGTCCAGGTTGCCATACCGCATCAACACAACAAGATGAACACCAGATTCATAACAGTGGTTAGGTAAAAGGTGGTAATATATAAGAGAAATATTGCACATAGAGATATAGTACAAGAAGAAAGAATATATATATATATATATATATATATATATATATATATATATATATATATATATATATATATATATAGAGAGAGAGAGAGAGAGAGAGAGAGAGTTTACTTATTTCATTGATTGTTAACTGGACGTTTGACAAACTCTCACCGTAGTTGTATTAATAATTTGTTTTAACAGTTTGCTGTCTTTATTAGTCAGACCCCATACATCAATTATCAATTTATATTATTTTTCCATTCTATTCAATCGCTCAATATGATTTTATTCTTTCTACTTTTCTCTCCTCTATTACAGAAAACTTTGGCACATACGTTTTCTAGACTAGCACTTCGACGCGTTGAACATATTATAGAATATAAGTTTGAAATAGATCGTTACCAACATCGTGTCGCTAGCGAATTACTGACACAGCGTTTCTATCCTGTATCTCATCCACTTGCACGTGTATGGTAAATTGTAATAACTTTTCATCTCTTGTTAATAAATTTATTATTCAACTCCCTATAAAAGATTTTGATTCGTGAATTATTATTGAAGGGGTCTATATATATTCTACCATTACTAACCTGCCATATGTTTGTGAGCATTTGATGTAGACTAAATTGTTTCTCTGATTGCGTGTCTTGGTGTTGCGCAATGATTGGAATTGATTGTTCAAGATATTTTACAATGGGCTTTTTGGTAGCTGATAAAAAATCGGACTAATTTCTTTCAACAACTATGAATAAAGCGTTTTAAGATAACTAACCTCAAAGAAAATGCTATTCATTCAAAGGCTAAAGGTGTAGTGGACCATAAAATTTCATAACCATTTAAGATAAATAACCAGCATCAAGATGCACATATTTTGGAAGGTTCTTCTAGTTTGATTTTAAATAAACGCTTCCTATTGGTGTTGATGACAAGTCTTTTACCTTCGCTTTGTAACATTGTTGTAGCAGTTAATATCTTTTCCTTCGTTTGATCTAGCAGAATTGATATCAATGGAAATTGGAAGTTTGGCGTTGATATGTTTAACAGGTGTCGAAACGATAGTAATTAAAGAAGCTAGCTATAAAATTAAGCACTGTTAAACAATCAAGAGAGTTGTCGTATATATATGAACTTGAAGATTTTTCCCTTCGTACATTGAGGTTCGATAATTTTTCATATGCAAGTGCTAAGCTGTGTGTATATTCCACTCTCATAGTATTTATTTAGTAGCCAACTAATATCTAACAAATTTAATGTATTACTATTAGAGAGTAAAGTCAAAGTAGTAGTGATTTTGAAAGCCTGCAGTTATACGTTACTGCCTTCAACTAATCAAATATTGCTACAGTTGCCTATCGTTTGACTGTAGTTGATTTTCGCTGGTATTACTTCATATGGCTCCAATTACTTCATTTAGTAATAAAATATCCTTTATAAATAAACAAATTCTATAAAGAAATCGATTTAGCTTAAAGTTTACGATGGAATACATTTATCAATATTTTAACCAACGGCACATGTCTTCCGTGTCATCGATGTAATTGTTCACGTCGATGTCTCATGACATTCGACTGCGAAGTTAAAGATTGTAGCTGGCAGGTAATATCATGATGTCTGGTTCGCACTGTCAACCTTTTTTTCAATCATTTGTTTGATTACATAATTCATATTTTATGGGTAAACATAATGCGAGTTGGAACCAATATCTTCTGTCTGGTGGAGACTAGGTCCTCTTTTACCCGAAAAGATAATCAGAAACACTATGACTGCTATGTCCAGACGACATTCAGTGGTCAGTCGAGACAAACCCTTTTCCAGGCTATTCAGTACGTCACCAATAATATGAACCATCTCAAACTCAATCATGTTACTAAATTTTCGGAAAATAATCTCATTATATATAATACTAATAGTGTTCTGTGCAATAGGGCGCCCAAAACACATGAGCGTGGGTCAAACAGTAGGCTTCTTATAATCTGCGATTGCATGGGAAAAACGTTCGAATCAATGTGCTAACTAAGAATTTCCGAGGTAGTGCAATTAGAAGTAGGTAGGACTAGATGAGCACGAATGGGCGTATTATGTTTGGAATTCGTAATGAGCGGGTAATCATGTATAAAGAAGTCATTAGTTCACACAGACACTACAGCATAGTAATACCTTAGGTGAGATGCGAAGGTAGCTCCCGTCTTAATCTTATCAGGACTGGTTATTTTCGTACGAGCACGCGTGAATACGAGACGTTTTCGACTTTTATGTTGTTCTTTATGGAGTTTCTGATTTAATTGTTAATGACTCCATCATAACAAAGAATACGTAGGGGTCAACATAAAAAATAACACACTTAAACCCCATAGATTTCCATCCCTGCGTTTTAGTAGCTCTATATCTGACTCCGAATGTCCGGCGCTTTAGCCGGGTTGGTGGACATGGGGCGTTCACGTAGAAGAGTTGGAAAACCCTGGTTCTAAACCAATGGTGCAAATAGGCTCCAGTATCCTGAGGGAAAAATGGCTTATGAATCAATCGTTGGTCACCGGCAACCATGGGACTGCATTTCTTTACGATGCTCCACCGCGTTATGGATCAGGCTTTTAGGTCGAAGGTTCGGTGTGTGGCACACCAAGAAAATCAACTGCTTCGGTTTGAACACCCAAGCATTATCACAGCCCCCAAACAAATCAAGTGAGATTTGTGTGGCGCATTTGTATTTGGTGCCTGCTTGAACGTATATTTATACGTTCAAGTACAATAAAATATCTGACTCCAGTTATATCATATGATTGATTGTCATCGAAATATACATATCGTCAATCCTTGTTTATTAATGTTGAGTTAACTCGTGTTAGTAAGGCATGTAAGTCAACCCGACTTAACTATGCATAAAACAGTATTTATAGTCATAAAAAATAAGTTACAATCATGTGATAAATAAGGTAGGAAGTGCACAAACATACGCTCATATAAAAACAGTCAAGGTTTACAAGTGAATTATTAACACGGTTAGAATGTGGCTCAAGTAGGACGAATAGATTGTTCGTGTAAACGGAAAATCAAGAGCACGGAGGTCTATGGATACTCATGGTTGCATTCTGACTGTCTGTACCTATATTCCTGCTAGTTGCATTACTGGTGAATTAGTTGGGTCTTACGGGAAGTCTTTGGATTCCTTAGGGAAGGTAATCGCTCAGATGTATTATTGGATAAAAGTGATTTTAATGCTTTTTATACGGATGTCGTTTTATCATCTAGACCAGCTACATGCTTAACTCGATCAACTTTGAGAAACAGAGAGATAACCAATCGTCTAGTGATCTAGTTGCCGTAAGTCTGTCTAACTTTGTACACTGCTCAGCAAGCGAACCTTCTATGGATATATTTTTAAGTTATCACTTGGGTACTATTGGAATATTTAAATACTAAATCTAATTGCCCACTTAGTCAGGCAGATTCAGATAACCATTTCGGGTTGGCTTTATAATCGTATCCAATGTTTGGGGACTTAATGTTACAGCGTCTGGAATCTGTCAAAAAGATACGGGTGGATTCATCCTTATAAAGCGACCATATAAAATGTCTTCCTTATAAAATATGTTGAGAATCTGGTGGCTGACAACTTTCAAATGTGGGAGGTTTATTAAACGTTCATCACTGACATTGATCTTCATATGTATATTGACCACTACTGAGTAAATGAAGTCGGGTATACACCATGAGCAGCATTAAACGCGAAAGTGCCAACAGTGTTCGGGGTTTGACGACTCGTTTACACATAACACGTCTATAATCTTAACACACCGACCCAGTTTAGTCAAATGTCAGAAATAAAAGGTTTGGAAGGTTTATGCTTGTAAAGCTATCGATTTGTTGTGATGCGTTTGATCTAAACTGGCTAGTATTTGTAAGGTATACATAGTGCAGCGAACACAGTGGTTATCTGGTGCGAACGAGTGACCGAGTGCTTCAGCTAATTTGCCCAGTGTTACCAATGCGGTTGTTGTAAACAGGAAAACAAATAGCCCTGACAAACTACGGAGGCTATTTTTCGGGACGTTATTCCGCTTTATTCAAGGTTTCTAAAACACTGACATTTATTTCTGTCCCTAATTTATTCTAAAGAACATAAGCTTTTGTTCGATGTATGATTTATTGCTATGCCCTATTTTTGTTCCAAAGCTATTTTAATTTAAAGATAATATTTTGCACCCTATTTTCCATTCTAATTCCCAGCTTTGGACATAATTGTATTTATCCTAATTATCGTGCGTTGTGGTCGGGTTAGTCACTTATTTATTCATGTACCTTTATACACTAATCTGAACTGAAATCAGGATATCGAAAATATATCAAGTACTGTTCCACTTGTCTTGTCTTCTCTCATTGGCGACTTGTCAGCGAATCAGGTAATAGAATAGTTTTCTCCTCTCCATCCCATTTCCAACTCACGCGTACTAGCCTCATGGTCAGGTTGGTCAGCCTATCGCGCCTAAATCTTAATCTGGATTAGATAAGTATCCTCGGCACCAAGAGTGGGTAGACAGACCAAAGAACATAACAGCGGTTAGCAGCAATTTCAAAGACTCACAGATCTATTTATTTTGGGGATTTGTTTGCCGCACCGATCGTGAATGAGGAAAACGTGAAGCGGACTAATGGCAATTTAGAAAATAGTTTTACAAGAAACATCCAGGTACGAAGTTTGTAAAATCAAATTTTCGTTCGTTGGCATTAAAAAAGGCGTGTTACTCAACAGCAAGGGCGAAAGATCTTTTAAAATATATAGTCAACTTCAGAATATGAATTGCAGTGTAGATTACTGACGTAGATGATTTGTGTCGAGTGATTTGGAGCTCACTTCAGTTAGATTGGAATAGTATGACTTTAAAGTCCGGCCTTGCCATCAACACCTAATGTGAATTGTCGTATCAGGGTACTATTGCTTTAACACCGTATAACACAAATGACGTTATTACAGAAGTGTATTAGTGAAAGTAGACACAATCAAGAGTGTGGGCCAGTCTGTAGAGCACGATTATTCGGTGTGCGTTAGTTTCCCTCGGCGTTGGTGGGGATCAATGAGCTGTTCGACACTTAGTGACTCGGCTGGTGTCCAGTGACATTTCACTGACCTACATTTGTATTAATTGATAAGTAGTCCAAATAATACCGGTTCACACACCTAAAACATATTCTCTGTTCATAAGTTTTAACACCGGTATCACAAAATATAAATTGATCACTATTAATTGATGTTTAGACTTCTCCATTTGTAAAAATATAAAGAAGTCATGACATGAGGTGTTCAAATTACAGTGGACATTAAACTTATTTATTGAAAGCTCATGTTTGTACTCCTAGCTATTCTGCATTTTTAAAGTCGTTTATTTTAGTACAAGATTAATTGCTCTTCAGAACTTGTTTCGTTATTCAGAGGCCTTTTGTTTAAATAATCTAATCAGACGCAATGTCATAGTAATTTGTCGCCTGCCTACTTTTAGATAGTCATTATGGACTCCTCAGACCTGCATCTTGCAAT